CGGCGGCGGCTTGGGGTCGTACTCGGCCGCCGGCAGGCCCCCGGGGGTGCAGATCATGGGCGTGTCCTCCTCGTCGCCCACGCTCTTCTCTTTGCGCCGCTTCCGGTTCTCGCCCGGAGCCCCGAAGGCGGAGGGCGCCCCGGGCAGGGCCGCCGCGGGGTCCACCAGGTAGTCCCCGACGACGACCCCGTGTCGGACGGAGCCGAAGCCAGGCGCGTCGCGGTAGCTGGGCTTCGGCACCTCGGCGTCCTCCCACTTCTTGTAGGGCTTCCGGCAGCCCTCGTAGTCGTAGCCCACGCGGTCTCCGGGAAGCCATCTCTTCTCCTTGGAGGACGAGCCGCTGAGACCGCGGCAGAGCCGGCCGGGGTGCTCGGCCTCCGCGTGCCCCTCCTGGACCGACGGCAGCTCGAAGGCCGCCTGCCTCCGGAGCATGCGCTGCGGGGGCAGGCCCACCGTGCCCGGGTAGAAGACGTCGTCGGACCCGGTCATCCGCTCGTCGAAGGAGTGACTTCCTCGCAGGGAAGGGGGGATGCTCAGGTTGGTGGCCGAAGAGGTGGGCATGGAGTTGCTCCGGATCAGGGGAGAAGAGTCGACGGGCGCTTCCAGGAGCACGGGGCCGCCGCCGGGGAAGCTGGTGGGGTACGGCTTGCCTTCATTTCTGACCGAGGGCGGCGGCGGCGGGGGCAGCGGCGGGGGCTGCCTGGCCTCGCTGTTGAATCGAGCGGAGGAGGACGTCAGCAGGCCGGCCGGGCCGGGGTCTGCCTCTGCCGGGGCGGACATCAGCTGTGAGATGGGGTCTTCGAACATCTGGACGTCCAACCTGGCGTGGACGGGAGGCGGGGGCTCGGCCATGCCCTTCCTGCCCGCGGGGCCGCGCTCCGGGCCCGGGGGCGTCACGCTGAGCGCCGTCCTGGGGCTCAGCCGACAGTACTTCCCGAAGATGATCTCCTCGTAGGACTTGGCGTTGGTGTTGGGCGGGCTTATCTGCTGCTCGGCGCTCTCGGAGCGGGAGAAGTAGCCCGAGTCCGTGCTGCCTTTGCTGTGCGGGCTCAGGAGGTTGAGCGACGGCTCGGAGTCTTGCCCTCTTTTCTCCGACAGCCGCAGCGCCAGCTTCTGTTTGACCGTGTGAGAGTCGTCCGCCCTGGGGTTGAAAGACGGATTGGGGAGCACGTCGGGGCCGAGGTACGCAGAGCTCTCGCTGGGGAGCGGGATCCCGCTCTTGGGGATGATCAGGATGGGTACCTTCATGGGCCCCCCCAACGATTCTTCCAGAGACCCGTGGTAGCCTCCGCGGCCGGCCAGCTCCAGCGGGATCCCGGGTGGGCCGGGGCTCATCTTGTCGGAGGTCTCGGCGAGGAGAGAGCTCTCCTCGTCGGTGTCTGTGCTCTGCTCGCCGTCGGAATGGATTTCTGCTTCCACGTCAATGAAGCCTGCCTCGAGGTCCAGTTTAGACACGGCTGACTCTGTGAAAGGTACCAACCCCGCCTTAATGGCGTGGGCATGCGACTTCCTGTGCTTGTACAGATTGCTTTTTGTCTTGAAGGAGAAACCACAAGGTATGCATGGATATGGCCGCTCACCGGTATGGGACCTGATGTGTTTCTTCAGGACACTTGGTTTGGCACATGCCCTGCTGCAGTAAGGGCAAATGTACTTGCCGGGCTTTTTGGGTTTGTGCTCTTTCTTGTGAGCATCTTCTGCTTGTTCGATACTTTTCTGGGAGTATTGGCTATACGCAGGGTTCAGACTTGAAATCTTTTTTCTAGGATAACCACCACTGTGGCCGTGGAGAGGAAAAGGATATAAGTCCTCAGAGGCAACTGATGGCAAAGGGCCAGGGAAAAGCCACGGAGGGCTTTCGAGGCTCTGGTGTGGCTTGTTGCTGTGCATGATCCCCTGTGGCAACGAGGGCTGAGGGAAGGAGAGTGAGTGTTGGCATGAGTAAGGACTCGGACGGTGCGGTGGGTATTGCTTCTCGGTGACTTGCTGCAGCACGTCTCCGGGTGAGGCCAGCTTTCCAGAACCAAACAGTTGTGCTGATGCTGTGCTTCCAATCTGCTCAGGATCTAGCTGTGGTTGCCTCTGTCCTTCCTGACTGCCAAAAGTGCTCATCTTAATAACAGCTGATGGCTCCTGTCTCCATCTACCTGACGCTTTATCAGTTTCTCCAGACCTTGAGGTAGCTTTTTGTCCTAGAGCTGTATCCCCAGTGTCCATTTTCGTATGCGAAGGTCTTAAGTGCTAATTTGTCTGAAAGCCGAGTAGACTCATGGAGTGTCTCCAAGGCTGTGCTTTTTAGAGCTTAGTGGCTTCCATGTTCCAGGGAGTCTGCAAACTTGCTGATGGCTGCTTCTCTTTGGAATCTTACTCAACCACACTGTAGTCGATGGGCATTGGATGGGAATGTCCTTGGACCAGGCTAGAACACAGTTCTCTCCATCATAGAAATGTCCGTCCAAAAGCTAAGTGCACATCTACCAAGATTTCTTATGGCATTTGAATATATTCAACTAGGATGCAACTGGGATGACGAACAGTCTAAGAGAAATTTTGCCCATCAACTACAGCAAAGTTCAATCGCCAGTTTCACTAAGGTAAAAGGATGACCTGAAGGAAAAGAAAACACAGATTGTCATAACATGTATCAAACAAGACCTCACAACCAATCCTCAATAACCAGTTTGAAGTTGGGAAAGTTAAAAATGTTTTTAATTCCAAGGAACTAATTTTTATAGTAGCTAGATTAATTCCACAATTGAAGGGGATTGATTTCAAACTCAGAATTATGCCAGCAGCATTCATCTCTTTCATGTTTGAATTGTGGCCATCGTTTTATAAGTACTTTTTTTTTTTTTTGTCGGTCGTGGAGCTTGAACTCTGGGCCTGGGCGCTGTCCCTCAGCTCTTCAGCTCAAGGCTAGCACTCTACCACTTGAGCCACAGCACCACTTCCAGCATTTTCTGCTTATGTGGTGCTAAGGAATCAAACACAGGGCTTCATGCATGCAAGGCAAGCACACGACCACTGATCCACCTTCCCAGCCCTATAAATACTTTTTACACTTACTTAAAAACTATTTGGATCCTAATAGTCTTGCTCAGTGTAAAACATGTGCTTAGCATGCATGAAAGCCCTGGGTTTCATTCACAGCATCCCTCCCCCACAAAAAAATGGAAAATACTTTTTAGACATTATTTGTAAGCCTTCACTAATAAATTTAAAGCTATTCCTAACCACGTTTTATGATATGCATGTTGAAGTATATTACATATACCTATATGGAGATATATTTGTTAGTTCAAGTGGTAGAGTGCTAGCCTTGAGCACAGTGAGGCTTAGGGACAGAACCCATGCCCTGAGTTCACGCCCCAGGACTGCCATAAACAAAACAAAAATTAACAAAAAGACAAAATCCCCCAAATTCTCTATTCTTCAATCAAAAGAAGAAGAATAGCAGATTGGATCAAAAGTAAGATCTAGCCATTGTTTGCCTTCTGTTGGGGGTTATTTTTTAATTGATTAAAGCTTCCACTAATTATGATATATCTTTTAATATATTACCTGTATGTCACATTTTTTGAATAGACAAAATATATTAACCTCTGATTTTAGATAAAAGGATTCAGATACAGACATTTGTACAAAATAACATACCCTTAGATAGAAAGAGCCATCAAGGATGTCATAAAGGCCATCGAGCTAACTTATAATAGAAAATTGCAAACCAAAAGAAAAAGAAAAGAAGCACAGTCCCAAGCGTAGGGTCTTTCTTTCCTCTACCACCTCACAAATAAAAATAAATAACTAAAATAAAAAGACGCTTAGCTATATGAAAAGCCTACTTTAAATAAAAAAGAATGTGGACATTGAAAAAAAAAAACAAAAACCAGTGAAGTAGAACTAGATTAATTATAGAAGAATCAAAAACTTTGAAGACAGAATAAGAATTCAACAAAACAAAATGATCTGAAAACCTTCATAATGTAGAAGTAAAGCCTATTTGGAAAATACTTTCAAGGACTACTTAAAAATGAAATGATTACCTGAACAGTTTGGCGTTCTTATGAGCATGATTGTCCTGACGCTTCCTAGGTACAAAATAAATGCAGTTAGGACAAGTTATTCCATTAAACCATAGCATCGCTATATACAAACACAGGTTCTAATTTGCAGTTCACTATATGTAAGACTCACAGTGCTTTGTGCCCTAAAACAACAATAAGGAATGCTTTGGGATGCAAGGAGCCAGGGTAGCAAGCCTGGTGTTATCAAGAACAGCAGCCAGTCAGTTCTTTGTTACTGTTAAAGTATCAAAAGAGTGAGAAATGGCTGATAGAAAAAATATGAAAATGTTACAGTTAGCTGTAAGCCAAGAGCAAAATATATGAAGGAAAAAAATCAGGAGAGTAATCCTATTTATAATAGCTACAAACGACATGAATAGATTTAGCCAAGAAAGTAAAAGACCCCTACAAAAAATTATAAAAGTGATTAAAATGGTTGAAGATGGAATGAAGGAGGAGGAAGAGGAGCAGGAGGAGCAGAAAAAGAAGAGGTAGAGGGAGAAGGAAGAAGGATACCTCAAGTTCATGGATGGAGAGAATCTATTGAATAGTCATATCACAAAGAAATCTACAGATTCAATGCATTGTGTATAAAAATACAAATGCCATTCTTCAAAAACTAGAAAAAACAATCCTAGACTTCATATGGAGCCTCAAAATGATTGAGAAAATAAAATAAAACTGGAGGCATGTATTATTTGACTTCAAAATATACTACAAAGCTGTAGTAATCAAAACAAGATGGTATTAGCTACAGACAGACACAAAGAACATTGGGACAGACTGGAGAGTCTAGATATGGACAAACACATCTGTAGCTGATTTTTGAAAAAGGTATGAAGAAGACAGATGGAAGGACAGTCTTCAATAAGAAGTGCTGAGAAAACTTGAAACTCAATCCCTGTTTTTCACTAGGAATAAAAGAAAGTTACATAACAAACAGATTATAAACTAAGTGTAAAACAAGATGAACTACTGGGGAAACACAAAGGAAATGCTTCAGGATACTGAAATGGGCTGTTACTTTTTGAACAAACGGGAACAAAAGCAAGGATAGCCAATGAGATTTTATCAAATGAAAAGCCTTCTTCATAGCAAAGGAAACAATCAACATAATGAAAAGACAACATACAAAATGGGAGAAAATATTTGTAAATGCATCTGACAAAGAGTTGTTAACTAGAATGCAGAAGGAAAAGGGAAAGAAAGTACTAAAATGAAAACCAGGGCTGGGAAGGTGGCTCAGTGGTAGAGCACTTGCCTTGCTTGCATGAGGCCCTGGGTTCGATTCCTCAGTACCACATAAGCAGAAAAAGCTGTGGCTCAAGTGATTGAGTGCTAGCCTTGAGCTGAAGAGCTGAGGGACAGTGCCCTGGCCCAGAGTTCAGGCCCCATGACAAACAAACAAAAAAAAAAGACATGGAAACCACCCCCCCCACACACAAAATAATCCAATTAAAACTGGAAAAGAACATACACACACACAAATAGCAACAGGTATATGACAACATGGTACCACTGATCATTAGAGATGGCAGAATCAAAACCACAGTGAGATACTGCATCGTCCCAGTGAGAATGGTTGTATCAAAATGCTTAAAGATAATAAGGATGTGCTGAAAAGTTCCTTGGCATTATTGGTGGGAATGCAGATAATTACTGTCACCATGGAAAATAATATAGAGGTTCCTTAATAAACTAAAAATAGAACTACTATATTATCCAGCAAGTCCATACATCCCAAAGGAATGAAACTCATATGTCAAAGAGACATAGATCTCCCCTGTTCATGGAAGCACTGTTCAAAATAACCAAGAAACAGAACAACCCAGTATCCAACAGATGATGAATAGATAAAGAAAATATTGTATATCTATACATGGAATATTATTCAGCCCAAATAAGGATGAAATCCTGTCATTTCTGACAGTATATATGGCACTGAAGACCATAACGGGTTTGGGACAAAGTAAGGCACAAAAAGACAAGAACCTCATGATCTCATTCATGTGGGATCTAAGAAAGCTGATTTCCTAAAAGTTCAAAAGAAAATAGTGGTCACCAGAGACAGGGTGATGACTGAATGGAAAGTTACAGTTAGGAGTGAGAAGTTCTAGTGTGCTATTGTGTAGAAGAGTACTTTATCAATGTGCTATGCATTTAAAAAAAATCTAGGAAAGCTTTTGAAAGATTTCATCATAAAAAGGATGTTTGTATACAGATGTGTGGAACCTAATTTAAACATTTCGCAATGTGTACAAGGATCAATATTTCACGGTAACCAATGAACATGTACAGATTTTTTATGTATGAATTAAAAATAAATGCAATTAAAAGTTTTAAAGTCAGAGTAATATTCCCTCTCCCTCTCTCTCTTTTGTGTGTGCTGATACTAGGGTTTGAACTCTGGTCCTTGGCACCGTCCCTTAGCTTTTCTTCCCCCCCCCCCTTTTTAGTACTTTTTTTAAAATTGTAAAACTACTGTACACAGGGGTTACAGTTACACGAGCAAGGTAATGAGTACATTTCCTATTGAGCATTGTTGCCTCCTCTTCTGTTTAGCTCTCTACAACTGGAGCCATACCTCCACTTCTGACTTCTGGAAGTTAATTGGAGATAAAGAATCTCATGAAATTTTCAGCTCAGGCAGGTTTCAAACTGCCACCCTCATATCTCGACCTGTCTCATGAGCAGCTAAGATTACAGGTGTTAGCCAATGATGTCCAGCAATAATATTTTCTGAGATTAGACTACTACATCAAAACTTTTGGTTTTTGACATTTATTTCTAATCCCCTAGATAGGAAAAGGTTCTGAATTGTAGCTTTTATTATACCTGTAGTCTTGAACATTGAAAAGTACAAATTTCCTTTTCAGGAAATTACATCACTGCCAAGTAAAGGAATCCTCTAGAGAATGGTAAATACATCAAGGTGAATGACAACTTAGTAACTATTAGATTTTAAGTGAATTCTCTACTCCCCTAAAAGAATGGTCAGTGAAATAACCCAAGAATCCTGAGGATGTCAGGATCCATTCATAGCAAATGTGAAAGTATGAAAGTTCACATGTATTGTCTCAGAAGTCCCATTGTTTGAAATCTATCAATACAGATTTTCCTGCACAAAGTTCACAAAGATAGGTACACAAGGACTCTTAACACTTGGGCTGTGAAGGTGGCTCAGTGGTAGAGTGCTTGCCTTGCATGCATGCATGCTCTGGGTTCGACTCCTCAGCACCACATAAGCAGAAAAAGTCAGAAGTGGCGCAGTGGTTCAAGTGGTAGAGCTCTAGCCTTGAGCTGAAGAGCTAAGGGATAGCACCCAAGCCCATTGTCCAGGTCCCACAACCAACAGAAAATAAATTGATAAAAATAAATAAATAATAAGCACTCAACCATAAAACCAAGCCATCTTAAAAACTGATAAAGCTGTGGAGGAAGTAGTGAAATTAAAGAAAAGCTTATTGTAGCCTAGTATGCATCTTATAACAACAGGAGATAATTGAGAATGCCAGGCAGAATATTCACAGCAGTGAAATCACTGCAGTCAAAAGAAATAAAGTTTTTTTTTCCTTACTTTTCACCTTTTAGCAATTTAAATGTGTTTGTCTGTCTTAATACAAATGTGTTTAGCTTTTTAAATAAACTACTGGTTAATTTTTTAACAAGATGCTACCCTGCAAATGTACTGCACATTTCCAAACTGGAACTCAAATGCTACTCTTATTTCCATGGCAAATATGCCGCTTATTATACATCTCTACAGTGATGGTGAGAGGGCAGGGGAACGTAAGCCTGCTCACAGGAACACCAGGCCTTCTGGGTGAGAGATCAGTAGCACCCAGACATTTGTAAGGACATCTGTAGTGAAAATGTCCTTCTGGCAGTAGCTATGAATAAGAATGGCCAATAGACACATGAAGAAATGCTTAACCTCTCTAGCCATAAAAGAAATGCAAATCAAAACAACATTGAGATTCCACCTCACCCCAGTTAGAATGGCTACAATCAAGAACTCTAATAACAATAGATGCTGGAGGGGATGTGGCCAGAAGGGAACCCTACTGCATTGTTGGCGGGAGGGTAAACTTGTTCAACCACTTTGGAAAGCAGGATGGAGGTTCCTCAAAAGATTCAAAGCTCCCTTATGACCCAGCAATCCCACTTTTGGGCATTTACCCAAATGATCACAAAAAGACCATACTAAAGCTACCAGCACAACTATGTTTATTGCAGCATTACTTACCATAGCTAATATATGGAACCAACCCAGATGTCCCTCAGTAGATGAGTGGATCAAGAAAATGTAATACACACACACACACACACGCACACACACGCACACACACACACACACACACTGGAAGCAGAGTAGGTTTATAAAGCAGCTGATGAAGAAACTAAGCCACAAACATTTAACTCCAGTTGGCCAAAAAGTTTCTCAATGGAATTTTAGGTTTCCCCTCCCCAAGTTTCCCTGTGAAAGACAAGGGATGGCTCACAATATTGCACTGCAAATTTACTTCCAACATCAAGGTTAGAAAATAAGAACATGCAATGCTGAACCTGGCCTGGTAGAATTTTATGTTTAACTATTTAAGGTTCATGCAGGCATAATCTGTGTTGGACTTTTGCAGGTAACACCCTCTAAAGTGGAGGGAAAGTATATTTCTAATTGAACAAAGAAATGTGTGAGTCCTTAGCTAGAACTCAGAGCTTTAAGCAAGTAATTAGTTACTTTACAAGTTTAGTATTTTATACTGATATTAAAACAATGTATGAAATTCCATGTTAATACAGTTTAATCATCCTTAGAAAATCTTAAATCTGAAAGCCCCCCAAATCTGAAGGGTTTTGTTTTGAGGGGGAGAGGAGGGATTATAGTACTGGGGCTTGAACTCGGGGCCAAGACACTCTTTTAGCATTTTTACTCAATATACTCTTCCTTTTGAGCCGTATTTCCACTTCCCATGTTTTGCTGGTTAATTGGAGATGAGTCCCATGGATTTGTTTGCTCGTGTTAGCTTTTAACCATGTCCTCAGATCTCTAGGATTACAGGGTCAATCACCTGTGCTCAGCTCTAAAGTTTTGTGAGCACCAACGTGATGTCACAGGTGGAAAGTTCCAGCACTGACCTCACGTAATAGGTTGCAGTCAAAATACTAAAAATACTACGCAAAATTAACTTCCATAAGATATATATGAATTTTGTGTTAAGACTTGAGTCTCTTCCTCAAGGTATCTTATTGTGTATATGCAAATATTACAGAATTTGCAAATTAAAAACACTAAGGTCACAAGCATTTCAGGTGCAGGATACTCATCCCACAGCAATAATAATGGCTGCTATGTCCTGTGCATTTACTATGTACCATGCTTTTAAAGAGTTTCATGCATATTATTTGATCTTCTTGACAGGCCTAGGCTATTGGTATGATTGCAGCCAGTCGACAGTTGAGGATCAAACTGAGTCAGAGTTCAATTGTTTAGCTGGCCTCTGAGCACAGGAGGTCTCATCTCCATTATTTGTTAAGTCTTGACCACAACTTAACCATATATCTTCAACATCCCCCCTAAATGCTTTCACTTGTCTGTATTTGAACTGACTCAACTTTTAATGTTTGAACTAAATTGCTTCAAAATGCCATTTCCTGAAAACAATCCACAATTTAAACAATGTCATCTATCTATAACCTAAGAAATTGTTTTCCTTTGTTCTTTGAATATCATTACTTTTTTTTAATTGTGAAAATACCATACAGGGGGTTACAATCCTCCTTTGTTTCTCCTTCCCATCCCTTCCCAACCCCCCCCCCCAAGTTGTAAAGTTCGTTTTTTGACATAACGTCTTGTACATCTCGTTGTTGCAATGGGTCCACCTGTATCCCTATTTAAACAATTTGTTTTTTTCCCTCCCCTCCACAAATTATACCAACATCAAATACAGTGAAAACAGGGGTATACTGTGGAGGAGAAACATACAAAGCAACAAAGAAATAATCTTATAAATGTGTTAGAAACAATCGCAAGAAAGAAAAAAACATTTGAATACTTATCTTGGGGTTCATTTCCCTAACATCAACTTATCTGACCTTTTCTGCTTGTCTCAGACATATACTAGTTATTGCAAATAAGAGAAACCATGGGACCTAGAATATCATTACTTTTAGGGACAATAAGGACCCTAAAGTAAAAACTAAACATTTATCACTTTCCATTCTTCAGCTGACATGAAATATGTACTTTTGGTTAAAATGTAAGCTTCATGTTAAACAAGGACATATTACTCAATGTCAATATTGTTCTGTTGAAAGCAAGACTAAAATAACATTTAATACATTATTAAATTCGGAGTTTAACTTCTATAGTCTCTAATAATAAGTTAAAATCTTCATACCACAAACCAGAACACAAATACTTCTTTACTCACTTAGAATATTATATTCAATAAGTGGATCAAATAAAATTCAGAAATAATCTTTCCCTATCTGAAAATTAGACTAAAAGATGAAGGGGAGGGATTGTTTTATAAAAAATTCAAAATCATGTATTTAGATGTTTAGAACAAAACTTCTCTAGAACATTTAGTTGTTGAATTTAAAGAAAAGAGCTAATCAAAAAGAGTGATGCTTACTACCAAACTAAAAGCAGTTACTTCCCTAAGGTCCATATGAGGCCATCCTTCAATGTTCTTAAGATTCAAACCTTTGATCTTGGTTAAAAAAAATTAATTAAGCAAATAGTTTTTGCCAGGAAAATGTGTTCCTTCATTGGCAGAGACTGTACAGTAGTCTACGTGTGATGTCCCACTAATTAATCAGGACATTAAATGACATCCCAGACCATGTACTCTACTCCTGGGTTGTTAAGTTGTCATCTCCATTGGAGCTGGAGGTCTCACTAGTATACAGACCTCTAACCTAACTTTTCAGGTCAGTGAAAGTTTGAGAATGCTACCAGAAAGCTGGAAGTCAGTCCTGTTTCCACTAGATTTTAAATGTATTTGAGGAAACCATCACTCTCTCCAACACTTTATCCTTGGGAAGATTTCATTAACTGCTACCCATGAAAGTCACTTCCCTTGAGTTTCTGAGATACATGGAAAAAGGTAAGCAGGAAAGAAAACCAGTGGAGGGTCCTTCGGAGAATTTACTGATGATATTCATGAGCCATAACAAATGTGGACGGGTTCATTAACTGCTTGTCTAGAGTTGCTTTATCTTGGAAGTTGAAAAATCTATGCAAAGGAAATCATGAGAATTACAGATCTATTGTTATGTGTCTTCTTCTATACAACCTGGCAGAATTTCTGAGTTTCCTCAACTTTCTTTACTGTTTTGTCACCTTAATAAACAGAAAAATTCACTATAAAGCAACTATACAGCTTTTGAAGTTTAATATAATGGTTGATAATTATATCTTTAATAAGAGATGATATATTTAATGTGACCTAATTTTCACCGAAATGACAAAGATTCTTGATGTTGTATTTTATTACCAAAACATATGAAAATGTTTTTCATATGGGAAAACAATTTTCAGATGAGAAAACAATTTTGTAAGTATATCAAGAAAAAAGATCAACATTAAGCAGATCATTCAATCTAGGAAAATACTTTCTTTTTACTATAAATCATCAATCAATGTACCTTTATGTATTCAGATCTTTAGCTTAATTTTTTTCAATAAAAATCTACCTATTGCCATAAAAATCTATAGTAATGTCATTAATTATACTTACATTATTTGTCTATGATCACATATTCATTATTCAGATTCTTGATTACTATGTCAAAAGCAAATTTCAGTTTTTTTTATCAACTGATCAGTTTTAAAATGTCCTATAAGAGCAATTCTCATGCAAAAACACAACAGCTAGTTATCATTTTATTCACTGGGATTTCTTTTTATGGTAACTAAACCCACACAAAGTCATTTTTGGCATCCATTGCCAACAAAGGAGCTGGTATTCCAAACAGAGCTGCACATTCACATTTAAAAATTTTCCCTAATGTTTTTCAGGGCTGTGAGGATAAAAGTCAGAGGACATGACTTTTGAGTGTCCCAGGGATGGTGCTACAGCCCCGTGGCACTCTCCAATCTGTATGAATAGGTTATATGGGTATTTAGAGGTAATGGAACTAAAGGAACTGAAACAAAGGGAAAGAACATGATGCATGGAAGGGCTGCCAGTTTTCTAAAAGTGTGCCCTCTCCTTGGCTACTCTTCATCGTCCCACTCAAATAAATCTGGCACCAAGCTAAGTGATTTTCTTAAGACAGGCCCCAAAAAGGAAGACCTAGAAACAGCCTACTGCATAAACCTCCTCCAAGGTCTCCTCAGGATAATGTCTGATGGGACTGGCAGTAAAGCAAGCTTCCCCAGTTCTTCATGCTAGGATATTTTGCTAGGAAAAAAACATACAACTTCAGAAAATTAATAATCAGTACTTATCTGCTGGCAAAAGTCAAGTGACCATTAAATAATAAGATTCTAAATAATACTGGGGAAAAATGATGACAACTTCTTTCTCTCTCTAATATTTAGTGAAATGAGACATTTTTGAAAATCAAAATGGTAATTTGGTCTTTTCCAGAGAATGTGGAAATATATATGTCTTCTGGTAGCATTATGGAATGGCATTTTAGAAGTGATCTCCGTGTATTTGTTTAAAGCCTGGCATCAAGCAGCTAAAACTGTTTTATATGAATACCTGTGCAGGTTAGAGCACTGCTGCTTTAACACACTGTGTAGCACTGCTGGATCACTGTCAGAGCACAGGGGCTCAGAGGGTACCAGACTAGAGAAAAGGGGCCTACTGAAAGGTATGACCGGTGCTACAGTCCAACTAAATACAGACTTATTTCCACAGATGATTTACTGAAGCCATTTCCTGAGAGCCAACTTCATTATAAATGCTCCTGTCAGTAAAAATTCCTGTAACAACCTCAATTCTTCCTAAGGTGAGCAAGCTGCTAATAGGAAAAGAATGCTGTACGTTATACGAAAGCCTGACAGACAATTCAGAGAAGTTTTGGAGAAAGTAAAAACTGACTTGACATATTTACAACATAACTGGATAAAAACTTAAACCTGGGATTCAAAGCTGAATTATATTCTTGCCTATGGCTGTAATACACATACCACACAGATCTCTGTAGAATGTGCACACATAGGCAAGATATTCATAACTTTCCTTGATTCAGCATGCTGCTTTTAACATTAGGTCATTAATGTTTTTACAATCTTTCTGAAATTGTGATTTCACTTTTCCAGTGGCCTGTTTCCCCAGTATACAATAAAAATTATTACTATAAGATTACCAAGGATGTACTATGAATTGCATATGGAAATAAACACTTCCACCAAGAAACTCTTTCCAATGGGTCTATCTTAGTAAAGAAGAATATGATTAAAACTGGTCTATTATGAAAAACAAAATAAGTAAAATTTACACAGCATTTTTCTCTCTAACTGCAAATACATATTGTTTTCCTCTCAGAGTTGATGATAAAATCCATTAATATAGAGGCTCATGGTAGGTGCAAACTCCTTTTCAAGGTAAACATTAAAAAAAAAATAGAAGGGCCAGGTGCTGATGGCTCATGTGTTAGCTACTTTGGAGGCTGAGATCTTAAGGATAATGGTTTGAAGTCAGCCTGATCAGAAAATTCTGTGAGTCTTATCTCCAATGAATCAACAAAAAGCCAGAAGTGAGCCTGTAGCTCAAGTACTTGAGAAGAGCAACCTAGAATAAAAAAAAGTCAAGTAAGAGCTTGAAGCCCTGATTTCAAGAGTGAGTACTGACATGCACGCGCATGCGTGCACGCGCATGCGTGCGCGCGCGCACACACACACACACACACCAATTAAAAAAGCAATAGAAGAAAATGATGAATTTCAGTTATTAACCTGTTGTCTTCATATCAATAAACTGCATCACAACTGTCTTTGCTTCCCAAGATGCCAACTTTCTCCACAGGAACTCATGCACAACTTCTGGAAATCTGAAGGATGAATAAGAACATTTAAAAGATGATGATGTTGGAATTAACTTTATAGGCATATTTATTCTGAAACTGTCTGCTTTTAGGAAATATAACCTGGGACTGCAGCTCTAGTTATATGGTTTTTTAAAAAAAATTCCCTTTCTTTTAATATAGGGTAAATCTTTTACTTATATTAAAAGGAAATGCCTATAACAGAATGGAGGCAATTACAAAAATAATGCTGGAGTTAAAACTTAGTGTATTGGAAACTAGGAACCCACAGTGGTCCAGGCTACCATTCTGCCTCAGAGGAGAGATTTCCACACAGCTCCTTTTGAATCATCATCAAGTAAGCTGCATAGTATGCTTCTCAGATAACCTCACAGCAAATTCTTTTTTCAGCTGTTATGTTCTGTGCTAAAATTAATTTCTGAACTAGGAATCCAAAAACAACCAAAGTCGAATCTGAGTCTTCAGTGACTCTAGTATGAAAGAAAGAGATCTTTCTCGTACTTAGAATTAATACTTATCTAAATCTAATCCAAGGAAATGCAAAGAAGATAAAGCTACTTAATCTAAGTAGATTAATCAGTCAACAATCTGAAGCTGGTTTGGCTCTTAATAGCCACACAAAAAAATGTCATCAGTCTAGCACAGTGGTTCAGAGCAGAGGTGCCATACTCAAAAGGCTGAGGACTGCAAGTTCAAGGTCAGCCTAGGCTACATGGTGAGACTAGTACATTGTCCATAGATGGTCAATGTATATTTGTTATCTCTTCAAACCAACCAACAAGCAACATTGTTGTTTCTTCCTGACATGGTGATTCCAATATCCCTTGCAAAAAGACCTAAAGCACTGAAACCTGACAGTGAAAATGTGGTTCCCTGAGGACCATCTCGTAGTAGCTTTCCAAGGAAATCGTGTTTTCCTTTTCCTCTCCTTTCTGCACATCACCACAGTAGGACTTTGGGACACCCTGTGCACTTTGAGACATGAATCATCATAGGCAAGTAGGCCCACTTGGTTCCTCAAAAGACACAAAGGGTGCAAAAATAGCGTCTGCAATTGAAGCAAGAGCCACGTCAGCAACCAGATGAATGTGGGTGGTCAGATAAGATTCTGCTTCTGCAAAGGGCAAATTATTAAGCAAATGTTAGAATTATTTTCTTTTTAAAACTCTTGTTCCTCTCGCCTCAAATCAACCATTTCCAAATCAAAAATGGCAACTGGCAAGCTCTACTCTTCTGGAAACTGGGAGGTCCATCAATGCCAAAGAATATGACTGATTATCACTGAAGGCACAGTGATGGTTTCAAAACAAGAACAGACACAATGCTTAAGATAATTATCTATACACCTTAAAAAATCTTTCATATTGTTATCTTCAAAAGGTTTCACATTAACATGCCCATTATGTGTACAATGCATCTTGATCAGTCACCCAAACTTCCTTCATTCTCCCTCATCAATCCCATCCTCACCCATTTCAAGTTTCCAAGTACATTTTTCATGTATGTTCATTGAATATTATGACTGGATTCTCTACAACTATATTGTGTGTGTGAAAGAGTGGAGGGGAGAAAGAAAGGGGGGGCAGATAGACACACACACACACACACACACACACACAGACCTGGGTATTGAACTCAACCTGCGAGCTGTCCTTAAGCATTTCTGGCTCATGGCTAGTGCTCTACCACTTGAACCACAGCTCCACTTTTGGCTTTTGGGTGGTTAATTGGAGCCAAGAGTCTCATGAACTTTCCTGTCCAGACTAATAGCTAGGATCATAGGTATAAGCCACCAGTTCCTAGCTTTTTACATCTATACTTTTAACACATCAAATAGTGTCTCCTTTTTTTAAAGTAAAATAAAATGGCTTCAAACAATCTGTACCCTGGTAATATAAACTATTCTAAAGGAAAACATATTTCTCAGATTAACAAGATCATTGAGTTGTTTTGCAATTTAAGCAAAATGGGCCATGAATCTATTAAAGATACAACTATTATAGAGAGCAAAATGTTATCATATCCAATGACCACATGACTGACAATCCTATAGGCATTAGATCTAAGAGGCAAGAATTGAGGGGAAAGAGTTTAATTTTCAGTAAACTAGTACTAATCCCAAATCTTCATTCCTACCAATGGTCTCCATAAACCAACCACAGTGTGTAAGCCTTCCTTCCCCCTTAAGCTGTGACTAAGGCAGCATTCTTGATTCTGACTGGGACAGTGACTCATAGAAATGGGAAATACTGAAATTTCAGAGCATGGATTAACACTCTCCTCTCTCTCTCTCTCTCTCTCTCTACTCTCCCCACATGCCTTTTTTATTGAATAAGAGAATTTAAAAATTGGCTCAAAAGACATGACTACATGACTCATAACTTCTTTAATATTGAGTTTACCTTTAAAAGACAAAAAAATCAACACTAACAATGCCATGTTTATCTTTTACCTTATAGATACTCTCAGGAGTCTTTAATTTCCATTTTCTGCTTAGCAAACACAAAATGTTTCTCTCTTTTTTCTATTTCTCCCTATTTTGACCCTGTTATAATAACATAAATCCTTGATAAAACTTTAAAAAAATTAAAAGAAACTCCCCATAGTGTGATTTTAAAGCAAAGATCCAAATGATACAAATAAGAAAGATATGACCCCAACTTGAATGATTTTGCCCCAAATCACTTATGTAGCAAATTGAAATCAGTAATGGTCTCTACAAGGGAGGTAATTATTCTTACTAAGAAAATAAAGACATGCAGATACCATCTCAGAAATTTTTTGCATTAATTCTGAGTTTTGTGCCTCAGTTTTTACATCATAATAAAAGGAAAACGTATTCTCAAACAGGTCGTCATAATATATGCTCATGTATGTTCCCTAGAAATGAAAAATTCACACAGTACCCTACATAAACAATGTAATATAAAATGGTAGATTATCATTACTTTAACTTTTACTTCAAGGTTATTAGATTCATAAGAACTTACTAGGCAGTGAAATCTTAATATTTAATAAAACTAACAGGTTTTCAGTAATAGTGTTAACAAATCTTGTAAAATGTCCCCAAGTCATTTAAAATTCATTTCTATATATATATATGAGGTGAAAATTACCTTTCACTTTCCTAAGCGCAGCTGATTTTTCTGAAGGTTAATAGACAAGACCCTTAAAAATAGTTTCTATTCATCCATCTCTTATTCCTAAGAAAAAAATTTTAAAGTTTGAGTATCATTGTTTCTATCCACATCATTTCTCAGCCTTCCTTTTAGAAGAAAAAATAATCCTTGGCATTAACTATTGGAGTCTTGAAGGTTATTATCATTTAAGATAAGTGAGGATAAAGTTGGGCTAATGATTTTGATGAGAAGGTGGATAAGACATTTGAAAAATATCCACTTGTGGTAGTATTCTTTATTTCCATTATCTATTACTCCAAATTTTATGATTTAACATGACTTAGAATAATGCTCCAAGATACTAAAGTTTTGATGGCAAACCTACAAAGCATATTAAGTATGTTGTACTTGTTTTCCTGAAGATACACAAATACCTACTACATCATAATTTTATGAAAAGAGTTGGCAAGATAAACCAACTATACATCAGGTGAAAATTTCATAATAAAAAAGTAAACAAAGTGGTTGAACAAGTTTACACTCCCACCAATAATGCAGTAGGGTTCCCTTCTGTCCACATCCCCTCCAGCATCTGTTGTTATTAGAGTTCTTGATTTTTGCCATTCTAACTGGGGTGAGGTGGTATCTCAATGTTGTTTTGGTTTGCATTTCTTTTATGGCTAGAGAGGTTGAGCATTTCTTTATGTGTCTATTGGCTATCCTTTCCTCTTCAGAGAAGTTTCTCTTTAAGTCTTTAGCCCACTTATTTATTGGAGGTTCCTCAAAAGACTCCACATAGAGCTCCCCTAAAACCCAGCAATCCCACTTTTGGGCATTTACCCAAATGATCACAAACAAGACCACACTAAAGCTACCAGCACAACTATATTTATTGCAGCCTTATTTACCATAGCTAAGATATGGAACCAACCCAGATGCCCCTCAGTAGATGAATGGATCAAGAAAATGTGGTATATATACACAATGGAATTCTATGCCTCCATCAGAAAGAATGACATTGCTCTATTTGTTAGGAAATGGAAAGACTTGGAAAAAATTATATTAAGTAAAGTAAGCCAGGCCCAAAGAAACACAGGTCCCATGTTTTCCCTTATTTGCAATTACTAGTCTATGTCTGAGACAAGCAGAAAAGGTCAGGTAAGATGATGTTAGGGAAATGGACCCTAAGATAGGTATTCAAATGTTTTTTTCTTTCATGTGATTGTTTCTAACACATTTATACGATTATTTCTTTGTTGCTTTGTATGTCCCTCCCCCACGGTATAACCCCTGCTTTCACTGTATTTGATGTTGGTATAATTTGTGGAGGGAAAGGGAAAAAACAAATTGTTTAAGTAGGGATACAGGTGGACCCATTGCAACAATGAGACGTACAAGTTGTATGTCAAACACGAACTTTACAACTTGGGGGGGTGGGAGAGTTGGGTTTAGGGGGGAGGACAGGATGGGAAGGGGAAACAAAGAAGGAGGCTACAATGCTTGATAAGAAATGTACTCATTATCTTGCCCATGTAATTGTAACCCCTCTGTACAGTATTTTCATAATAAAAAAAGTAAACAAACATTGAGTAAATTTCATGGGAAACTAAGAGATATGGCATCTGCATGCTCAAAGGTTGAGCATTACTCTTTGTCCCCTATAAAAGAAATAGGCCACTTTAATTCCATAGGAAGGGCTAGAAAAGATTCAAAATTAGTGGTCAAAGATGGGAGATGGTCCCTGAATGAGAAATTGATGTTAAAGACATGCTACATCGAGTTCACAAGGCTTTCCTTCAGGGTTACTTTACCCTTCTATTTAAAGAAGACACAGCAGCTCTAATGATCCATTGTTTCACTCTGGAGTGGGAAGAGTACCAAGATAGG